GGACAGAGCGGCGAGCGGGGAGAGCCGTGGCACGCCGCGCCGTGTGTCGATGGAATCGCGTCAGGCGTCAGGCGTCGTTTTATTTTCATTTAACCGCTGATGAAACGAATCGACTTATCTCGTTGGTGGGCACTCGTAACGATGCAGGAAGGAAGGGCGGAGGGTTGGTGCATCGATTATAGATATAAAAGGCGTACAATATAGATACATAAATACATCGTATGTATGTACATACGTATATAGAGGCATGGCGGGAATCGGGTCTGCGTTGCCCGACTGCCGGAAACTCAGATGTTTACATGGGTAGTAATTATAGCGAGCGCGTGTATATTTTTTTAGAAAGGCGGCACGAAATTTCGCGTTTTCGAGAATCCGTACGGTTTTCTCGAGTCGAGTGGAGAGAGAGGTGTAGAAGCGTAGGACGATCGCCGGCGATTACCTGTAGCAGGAAACACGTGCAACCTTTTCTTGCTTCGGAAAGTTTGCGGTTGGCCGAGCGATAGCTGCATTTTCATCAGGTACTCTCTGTGCGCTCTCTCGTATTCGGCTTGACTGATGTTCGCCTGGAAAGAAAAGATATTATGTATCTAGGATTTTTTCGAGGACGGTCGCGTTGCGTCGCGACACTCGTCGTCTGCTTGCCGCCTCTATTCTTCCCAGTCCCCTCGTCGCTTCGTCGAGCATCGTTGCGATTTACGAGTTCCACTTTCGAGCCCCACCGCTCGCTACTTTTCTCACATCGTCGCGCTATATAATTTCCCATGGTGAGAAAGTCCAGACACGCTAGACGTTTCCGGTAAAATTAACCAGTATATGTATACGCGGGGCTCTGGCGGCCACTCGAAACCGGCGCGGCGGCGGTAGGCAGAGCGTGATAACGCGGTCGAGCCAACACCACGAGCGTTCAAGTTTTCGTAGCCGAAATCTGGAACACGATCGACGTTCGGAAGATGCAGGGAGGAAAGCGCAACGCTGGCTGATCGTGAGTCACCGAGACGCCTCCGCAGAGCGTCGGTTAACCGTTTAAAGTCGGTTAGTTAGTTCCGGTTCGTCGAGACGATTCTTTATCAGCGGTGTGACGACGACGGCGTTTCCTCGGGGGTCCAAGCGACGCTTGGCGCAGGACGCAGTGCTCTGTCGACGACCCCAAGCGAGTTCACTTCTCCATGCGATCGGTTGGAAAGGTCGGTCAGTGTCGGTCATCGGTGTCGCGTTCTTCGCTCTTTCGTCTCGTCTCGTCTCGTCTCGGCTCGTC